ACATCGGCGATCGCGCGATCGGTAACTCCGATCCCCGACGTCCGTCGCTCGAGATAAGCGCGAATTATATTTGCAATCGCGAATCCTCCCCGCCCCCGTCGCGCTCGTTTCGTCGGGCGACGCGCGCGATATTAATTGTCGGCGCGAACGTTACACGCGGAAGCGAGCGGCGGCGGCTGCTCTCGCGGCTGTTTCGCGATTAACACGGTCCTGAAACAAGTCCGATAACGCGCGCAGATCGAGACGGGATAAGTCGAAGCGAGTAAAAGGCCACTTGCGGCTGACTGAGGATTGACGCGACCGCGTCGCCTCCGTGGGAAGAAGTGAAAAATCGCGCTTCTCGATGATAAAAGCTCACACGCGAGCGCGTACACGGAGAAAGAGAGTCCGGTCCGGTGGTGGGAGGGGGGAGGCGGGGAGGAGGGAGAGGCACGCTTATGCAAGAGCGACGCGCAACAATCGGCAACGTGACACGTGAGAAGAAGTGACAGACGGAAGGTTAATTGAACAGTCATTATATTCGCCGCTGCCGAAGTACGGCGAGTAAACAGAGTCCGCGGCGACCGCACGGCCGCGGCCGGTCGGCCGGCCGGCCAAGTGACAGGATAAAGGAAGAAAAGTACGACAGCTGGCGAGAGACGCGCTCTCGCTCCTTTTGCCTGACCTAACCCAACCCGATCAAAAATCATCTGTAAGCTTCGGCGTCTTTTCACGCACGGAGAGAGCGAAGTGCGCCGATCGCAGGAGCAGGAAAAGGTGCGCTCCCGCACGCGCAGCTGCCGCTGGTGGCCATATTGTGAAAGCGTAACAGTTGTCCGAAAAAAGCGTACCTGCCCTGCCCTGGCCCGGCCCGCGGCCTGGCCTGCCCTGGCCTGCCCTAATTGTCCATTGTCGGGCGTCTTGCGTCGCGGACGTGGTATTCACACCGAAAAAGCGAGAGGACGAGTCGATTGTGAGCGCGCACGAGCGGCTTTTCCAAGGACCACCAGCCGGTAGTGGGTGCCGGGCGGCGGGAGGTGAACACAGAGAAGTCAGGCCGGCAGAGGGGGACGCGCGAGGACGAGGATGCGAGCGGATGCGTGCGTGCACCGACCGATCCCGGACGCTCATTGATGGCCGCTCGATCGCCGCGCCGCACCCCGGCCCGTTAATCATAATTAATCAGGCGTGATGGGTACACGCGGTGCTTTCAATTATCGTGACGTATGACGCGGAAAAGAGCCCTCGGTAGCTTGATTAATGACAATTGCGCGACCGGCTCCGACTGGGAAGCTGTGAACGCGGCTTTATAAGCGCCGCGAGTCGCGGTTCCGCGAAAAACGCTGCCGAGGTAACAGGTGGACTCGCAGCGAATTCCGTCGAGAGCCGGGCTCTCTCTCTCTCTCTCCCTCTCTCTCTCGCTCTCGCTCTCGCTCTCGCTCTTTCTCCATCTGTCCTCCACCTCGCGTCGAAATCGCGTCTCGGCAACGGATGTGTGTTTTCAAGACACAGCGCTTCGTTATGCCTCGGTGGATGCAAGCTGGTGAATTTCCAGCTGGGCTTTCGCAAAAATCAGTTGGAGTTGCGACAAACGAAACTCGTAATCTCTTTCTCTCCCTCCCTCTCTCTCTCTCTCTCGGATATCATTCTCGACGAAATGAGAGCATTTTCAAGCCGTGTTATCTACTCGAGCGTTATACATACGTGGTTCAGCTTCAATCTCGTCGCGCAGCGAAAGGTCAGCTAATCTCACCGAGTCAAGTACTTAATAAGAGAAGTTCGCCCACTTGTATGTCCGTGTGTGTGTGTATGTGTGTATGTGCGTGCGTGCGTGCGTCTTAGATATCCTTCGGCATCGATCCTTATCTATATTACGCTGCGTACGGTGAACGCGATCGGCGAGATTTCGCAAGCGACTCTCTCGCGGTCGACCTGCGATTGAAGTTACATCGCATTTACATCCTGCCGCGCGTTGCGCGCTATCGGCCGATTGCTCGAGTGAGATAACGCCGAGAGAGCTATTCGCGATGGATCGCATGCCGTAGTCGGGACAATTTCATACACATTGGAGGCCACATTTCTCCGCTCGGAGAGCGGCCGACGCACTTATCCGCCAATGACGCCGGCCGGAGTGTCGACCGGCTCTCTCGGTCTGTGCAGCAGAAGGAGACGCGAATAAATGAACGACGCGCGTGCGCTCCTCGGCCGAGAAATCCAAGTTTTGGAGTTTGGAAATTGCGACAATTTTACGATGAGATATACTCGACCGAGCATCGAGAGACGAGATTCCTCCGGGATCGAGATTTTTCGCACTTTTTCAACGACGCACGTCCGGTGCGAGTCTTCCTACGGACTTGGTCAATTGAATGCCACCGCGAGGGAGGAAGATGAGGAGAGGATGAAGCACGATAAAAGAGTCGTTTGTTCGAGCATGACCGAGCCAGGATCCGACGAGATATCGCGTCGGATCGTGATCAGATCGCACCGGTTTATAAATTATTATCGCCACTCAGAGCTCGGAGCTGCAGTTTATCGCGGCACTTCACGATCGTCCGAAGTTCCTCGGCAAAGTGATCCGGAAGACGCAAATGTTGACACAAGAAGATCGTCAAATTTGATCGCGGTTAAAACGCACGGAGCACAACTCCGAGGCGAAGTCGAGGGCGCATCGAAAATTCCGAAAATTCGACCAAAAATAGATTCTCGAGGACGGAGCTTCGAGAGCTGCTGTGACGTTTCCCCTCTCCCTCCCGCACCCTCCCCGTTCACCCGCCTGTTTTTCCTCTTTCAAGCGTCATCGACATTAACGTCATTTGCATAATGCGAAATTCACGATGAAGCTCGCGCGCACCTGCCTCGGCCGGCACCGATCGGCAAAACTGCCGCTTTACCTGCAACATCATTGCGCGGCGCGTCGGCCGTTTGATTAATTATTCAATTGCGAGAACAATAGCGCGCGGCATTAGCCAGTTCACAGACTATGCTTATCTATATCAAGGCCGACATGCGGCGCGCTTCGAAGCAATTCGGCAGCCGATTATCGCGGATACCTCGTGAACGAAGAAGGGAAGGCAGGCCGAAATTTTTTTATCGCGTCGAAAAGCCGTGCATCTCTCTCAGGTAGAAAGCGTTTACTAATTAGTAATAAACGGACCTCAAATATTGATCGTTCGACGAGACTGCTATCGAAATGCAAAGTCGATTCAGGTGTGCTAACCCTTCGCTCTTTTTCTCTCTCTCTCTCTCTCTCTCTCTCTTCCCTCTCTCTCTCTCTCTCTCTCTCTCTCTTTCTTCCCCCTCTCTCTCTCTCTCTCTCTTTCTCTCTTTCGGCCGCACTCTCTCCGCCGCGAATCTTATCAATTCGCTCTCGATCTAAACTCACTCGACGTCGCGAACCGTCGCATTTGCACGTGCCTCTCCAAACTTGCACGAATCCGCGCCGCGGATTACAATTGTATGAACGACATTTTTCACGAAGGAGGAATTCTCGACGAGGCAGGAGCGAGCTTCGAGAAACGACTGCAATTGACGCTGAAGAACTCGCTGAAGATCCTCGATAAAAAAGCGATCCTTTCCTTGGGAAGATCTATGTGGTACTCAACTTGGCCGCTAATATACCGCTTAGTAATTATTTAATTTCACTGATATGAGATTTCAGATAATATCTCCGCGCGTAAAATATACCCAGAGATTTTTTTACGGTAGGATTCCCACGAGGCGGAAGGCCCAGGGAGATTTCTCGTTTGACGACACACACACGCACACTCTCTCTCTCTCTCTCTCTCTCTCTCTCTCTCTCTTTCTTTCTCTCTCTCTTTCTCTCTGCGTGGTGATCAATTCAATTTAGATTGTCGCGACGAGATACAGCGTGTATATACGACGAGTTGTGTCGAATGGCGGCTTAATTCATGACGTGTCGCCGAAAGCGGGTCAGAATTTTATCAGTCATCGACGGCGAGAGATAGCAGGGTTTCACAAGTTCCAAGCGTTTTCGAGAGACTTTACGATCGTCGCCTTGAGACTTCGCGCGGCTCGAATCGAGCGGAAAATGCTAATGAATTCAGCGAATTAAATTAACGCCCGTTACGCACCGACCACGTTACGCACGACCGTTTGATTTTATACGACGCCTCCCTTTCTTCCTACGTCAGATATAACGCGCCAAGTGGCATTATATTAATTGCGCAAAAAATTGCGATCGCCTCGGCCGTCGCGATAAACCCGACCGACAGCCGGCCACATGGCGGTACATTTCAACAAATTGCTAGCCGCAATTAACCGCACGGTGCACTCGCAGATGCGGGCGAAATTGCCTTGGCCGCGCGAGTTTTGTCCCCGGTCGGGGATGGCGTTGCGCGACGCGGCGATTCACTCTTCCTCTCGATTGTGATCGTGAAAATCGAACGGACGAACCCCTCTCGAGCCCCCTCTCTGCACCCCGTGGCCCGCATTAACAGTCGTTGCTCAAAACTGACGTCGCCGTGAGAAACTCAAGTTTGTATTCGCAGTTAGACGCAGTTGGAATCCTTCGATCGAGTCGTATTGATTGACACAATGAGAGAAAAATATCCAAAAGCTAGCAAATATTCATCGGAAGGATATTAAATGACATGTCCAAGTAAATGTAAACATTCCGTTTGGTGCGGGCAATTATTTCGGGATGAAATGTCGCCTCATCACGGAAAGGGCTGCAATTCTATAAGAAGATGAATACTTTTTACTTGAAAAAAAAAATTGGAGTAGACAATTATTTCGGAAAGTATCGCCTCATCATGGAAGGAGCAATTCTATGAGAAGATGAATATTTTTTACTTGAAAAAAATCGCCTTAAATTTATCTTTTACTTGAAAAAAAATCGCCTCAGTTCAAAGATACGAAGCATGAATTGATAGAAACAAGTATGTCACTACTGTGCAGCAGACATTCATTCATTCATGTATTTTTAGATATTTGTTCTCTCAGAACGAGTCAAAAACGACTTACGAGAGCGGATCCACGCTAATCGGTACTCCGGAACGTACCTGATGACTTTCCGCCTGTCGTTGGGATGCAAAGTTCGCGCTCTCTCCGGGTCGAGCTGCATCAGTCTCCGATGGAGCTCCTCGTTGCTCAAGTCGCTCGACCTCGCGTCGAACTTGCACTTCTTCTTGGGCGCCACCTCATCGCCGTCGCCGTCGTCGTCCTCGTCGTCGTCATCCTCGTCGTCGTCGTCGTCGTCGTCGTCGTCATCGTCGTCGTCGTCGTCGTCGTCGTCGTCGTCGTCGTTGTTCCGCCGATCGGCCGCGCTGCAGCGATCGTCCGATCTATTCTCGAGCGACGCGCTCGGATTGATCGCGCTTGAGTCGACTCGTGCCGGCGGTTCCTTCGGATACTTCATCAGGATATCCCATAGCAGCGACTCTATGTAATAATTCGTGCCGCCGACGACGATGGGCAGTTTCTTCGTGGCCAGCAGGTTGTTTATCTACATCGATAGAAGGAAGAGGAGAGAACAGTCGAGGCAGAGCGTAGAAACGAGCGGAACCGGGGGACTTGCGCGAGAGACCGTGGCTAATGATCGTATCAAGGTCTTCGCGAGAATCAGGGGCGTTTCGATTGGCCTGGCTTCGTCCAAGATCTTTATTTTACGAAGTCGACTTAGCACGCGCGCGATCCGTTACCGCCGCAGACCGGTCGCGACGCGCACCGTAATAAATCCGACACCGGCGTAATTGTTCAACGACTAACAACGAGCGACGTGCCGGCGTACCGCGAAGGCTGAAAGAGGATTCTTTGCGCGCATAATTTTCTGATTTCTGGATTTCCTTCGTTTTTTCTCCCTTTTCCTTCTTTTTACACCATAGTGTTCCAAAGCGAAGGACTTTTTGCCCGCGCCGCTATTCTCTCCCCCTCGATTGAGTTTTTTCTGGAAAATTTCTCAAGGAATTCTCTCAATGTTCTCGGAATGTTCAGAGGGAGATTACGAACGCGCCGAGAAACGAGTTGTCGCTCGTTAACTCGCGTTTCGGATGCAAAGCGACTTTTCACTTCGCTCTTTCACTTCCCGACTCTCCACCCTACATTTCGCGAGGAAAGCGTCCCGAACAAATTCCAACTATTATTGCATATTCATCTTCGATAATCTCCTCGAGTCGACACGTCAGTAAACCCCGAATTACTCGAGATATCTATATCGAGCCGATAAAATCCGACTCTCACTTTGAGAGTTTCCGAACGACCGCCATTATCGCGGCGTTAATGGCGGCCGATATTAAAGGCCGCTCGTCTACGCGGTCAACGAGCGGCGAAAGAGGCGAGAGACGAGGACGAGAATATGATGAGCGAGGATTACGATCGGTAAGGCCATTTCTCTGAAGTTCAAGACGGTGAAATTGGTTAGCGGATCCACGACGTCCAGCATGTGGTGCGGCGCCATTTGTCTCTCCGCCGGGGTCACCTTCGCGGTGACGATGTCCAGACCCTTGTACACCTGCGAGAAACCGGCAGAGAATCGGCGGTTAATTAAAAGCACGAAATAATGAGAAGCGCGCGCGCGCAGTGAAAGTAGCGAGTAAATAAGGCGGATGAATAGAAAATAATGAAAGATCGAATGATTCCGCTAATTGCGGCCGCTTGTGCCGCTGCTCTCGCTCGCTCGCTCGGGAATCAAAATGCGTCGAATAATGCATAGGCGCGGCCCCCGAGAGAGAGCCACCCGGTCGTGGCGGACCGAGCGGGGTCGTCAACTCGTGGTGGCGGCGGCGTCGTCGTCGTCATCGTCGTCGTCGTCGTCGAGTACGATCGATCGAGAAGAACGGCGGAAGAGAGACACACTCGCCGGCCATCCTCGCCGCTCCCGCAAGTTTCCGTCGACGACTACGCGTCCGATAAATTAATCGCGATTTTTATTCGCTCGCCGCGCCCGGCGACGACGAAAATAGCGTCGCCCCGTGCGCGCGAGCGAGCCCCGCCAGGGTCATTACTTTTCCGCGGGCCATTCGTGTAAACGCTATAATTACACGTCCGCGCGCGTTTTTCCCTCCCCGGCGAGGCGAACAAAACTGTTAAAACCCACCCCGGCATGCGCATGCGGGACGAGCGAGTATAACCGGATATCTTTTTTAGAGATCTCTTTTAAAGGTCGACAGATATTACGAGAGTGCGCTTTCCGAGGTACGCGAGCGGCTCGCCGCGGGATGCTTTAGTAAGCCATACGACCGTAAAGTCTCGGCGGATAAAGTTCATTTTCGGTAACAAGCCGATAATTAGAATCAACAAGCGCTGTCGCCACCCCGGGTATCTGTCAAATTTACATTTAACAGCGGACTCGCGGGCGCCGCATGGCCGGCGGATGCAGCCGACGAAGCAACACGCACGTAACCGCGTACGCACGCACGCACGCACACGTGCGTGCGCGCGAGTGAGCGAGGATTGTGAGTCCCGCGCGCGGGCAGGAAAACGTCGTTCATGTCGATCCGGATCCGGAGGACGAGCTCCGATCCCGATCTGGCACGGCAACTGGATCCTTCAGCGAGAGCCACCTGCGAAATCACGATCGGCCGATTATAAGCGCGACTCGCGCGGAAAGCGGGCCAACACCCTCCGGTTTCTTTATCGGCGCCATTATCAGAAACGACCACGATACTCGCGGGTTACGAGTCGAAGTTTCCGGACGCGGCAGAGTCCACGGCGAAAAGTTGCGAGATGACGGTGACAATTGACGGCTTCATTAATTATTCCTAAAAACTCGAGGTTGCGGCTCTCGCTCCCCTTTTCCCAGATTCAAACGCAAGTTCGCTTCGGAAATTGCCAAAGTTTCCGCGCGGGGGAGGGTAGGTGCGTATAGGTCTCTTAAATCAATTCTTACAAATTTTACAAATTTTACAAAACAGTAGGTTTCAGCTTCTAAAATACAAGTAGCACGTAGGATTGTAAATTCAGGCACTGAAAGTTGATATGTTCCCCCCCCCTTTCTCTCTCTCTCTCTCTCTCTCTCTCTCTCTCTCTCTCTCTCTCTCTCTCTCTCTCTCTCACACTTGCAAAACTCTGTAATCATTTTTATCGTAAACTCTTTCCCTCGTAAGAGAGGAAGAGAGAAGGAGATACCGTCTCGTCTCGAGGCTTAGAGCAGATCGACTCTGAAGCTGGCGGAGAAAGTTCGGGACACCCTGTATTTCCGTACGATCGCCGACGATACGATCGCTCGAAAGTCGAACGCGAGATTCGCGGTGCGAAACGTTGCGAATTAAATTAGCAGTGGATGATTTAGCGCGACGCGTTCGCGGGGTATTTCTGCGCTTATCGGAAATAACGGAAAAATGCGGCGTCTCTCCCTCTCCCTCTCCCTCTCTTTCCCCCAACATTAAACGGAAGTAGATCGCATCAGCGATCAATTGTATCGTTCTCGCCCAGGCTCTCCCAAGAGTTTATACATTCTACCGCAAAATGATCCTCCTCCGCCGCGACTTCCCGCCGCGCTGCGATTCCCCATCGCGGTTTACTTCCCGAGCGGCCGACTCGCGCCGCAGAGAATCTCGAATCGCGCGCACGGCGAGTCCGCGTAACATCCCGCGTTCGTTACGAGATATGTTAATCGGGCAACTTTCCTTTCCGGAACGCGCTAAATCTGTCTTGTCGCGGCCGCTGAGACACGCGCCTGGAATACTCGACGGGGAAAGAAGAAAAAGAAGGAAGGATTAAGGCGAGCGTCTAACCTTCGTTCCACTTCGCTCGTCAGAACGAGCGAGCGAGCGAGCGAGCGAGCGAGCGAGCTTCGATCGGAAAGCATCGATCCCGCAGCGACGGGGCCTTCTTTTTGCACTTTTCCCTCAGGGTTACTCTCGCGCATGAGTAGCTACGACGCGGCGGGATTTAACAGAGCGACATGCGTCAAGCGCGCAAAATTAGCACTAAATCGCAGCGCGCGTGCGCGCGCGCGCGACTGTCTCTCCTCCTCTGACTCTCGTTTTTCTTCTCTTCCGCGCCGGCGAGCGCTCGCCGGCGCGAATCAGGCTGCGTTCAGCGGAAAAGGCTGCTTCGAAAGTCGCGATTGGCACGCGCTCTTCGCCTCGGCTGAATCTCTCTCTGTCACACACTCCGGGGAGATTTGCGAATTTCACAATAGCGTTGCGAAGCAGCTCTCTCCGCTCCGAACACAGCCGCTATCATCCCCGGGGAGCAACGGAGCGGCGACGAATTGGCGCGAGGAGGCTCGAAGAGGCGTGATTGCGCCCGCATGGACGCGCAGGCTGCCTTCAATAATGGACATCGTGCGAAGTATCGATAGTTCTCGGGGACAGCGAGCAGCTGCCCGGCTCGATCTATCTGCGGACTCCAGCTGCCGCTGGAAGTTCCCGCGAGGAGCGCGTGGGTGGCGACTGCAGAAACCGGAGCGATCGGAACCGAAGGCGCGCGTGAGGGCGCTATCAATGAGATTTACGTGTCCCGATTAACGACCGGCAAACTTCCGCGTCGCTTCTCGCGCTCTGCACGATCCTCGTCGCGACGGCGACGGCGACGAGTCGTATCGGCAAGTCCGCCGCGTCAGACGGAAGTATCTGCTTCGCATCCTGGGATTTTCATTCAGACATTTAATCCTTTAACGCCCGATTTTTTTATAAGTGTTTTAAGAATAAAATTTGGGTTTTTTTGAACTGAGACTACAAGTAGTGATAACCAGAAAAAATATCAGAATTTTATGTCTACGAAAAACTACCTTTCCAAGCAGAAACTACTCCCAGAAGCGAAAAATACGTCCGATCGGTTAAATTGTTCCTTTTAGTTTTTAATAATTTTCATATCATACCTAATGGTTGGAAAAATTCCTCGAAACATAAAACTCATACTCAAAACTTGATCTTTATCTACCCGGAATGGAATCGCATAAAGCATCGAGAGATGCAGAGGGGAATTTTACAGGTTTCGCAAATTATTTTTGTCCCGCTTTGCTTTCCTTTCGAGCTGCACAATTGACAACGTCTTTTACTGCTTTCCTTAACAGGCATATGCTTGTTGTGTAACACTTATATTCTATTCATTTATAGTGCACTTCTAGATGTTAGTAACAATGCTAACTATGCCTACTTGGAATTTGACAAAATGTGTTATCATTAAAACCGAGCTAAATACAGACTAAACCGAATCTACATACAATCTATATACCATTTTTTAGAAGAAGAATTCACCTTTATAGTGGTGCAAAGAAAACGAAAATATCTCCTTTTTTCGACGAAGTTATGGATTTTTAAATGCGTTCCTGGTAACTGTAGTTACCAGTAGGCGTTAAAGGGTTAAACGCTCGTCCTCTCCTGCGTGAGCTTGTGCTTTCCGTCAGATATTTTTTTTTTTTGTAAAATTACGTATTTCTCGGACAATTTTAATTTACGAAGCTGATTCAGTCGTAACCGCGAATAAAATGCCGCGAAAGATTCTGGCTCTAGGGAACGATCGCAGAGATGAGAAACTTTTTTAAATCCAAGTTGATGTCTTACGTGGCTTGCTTGGAATTATGAAAATGAGCGAAACGATTCTCACTCGAAAATGGAATGTACGATACAATCTGAAGGATATGATAAATCGTGGCTTACATAAAAAACTCGTGACGTAAAACAGAAGTATCCAGGTGTCGGTACATCGCTTCAAAAACGCTCTCGCATACGGAGTACTCGCCGTGGAACCGTGCGCGCCCAATTAATTCCCAACTCAATTAATATTTGTTCTTAGGAAATAGTCACGGTCTTTGATTTACATATGAATCACGCGGGAAGATTCCCCCCGCGATTAGGCAGTCCTTGCATAACATTCTTCGCGACGTCCTTAACCGCCCAGAAATATGTTTAACCTAGAGCGCGATCGGCAGAGTGGAAATAAAAATAAAAACACGCGCGCACGCATCAGCAGCGAAACATCGACTTCTCTCCTCTCCCCTCTCACGCCGGTGATCCGGCAAGAACAAGTGTATTTCTCCAGCCGAATCCGAAGAGAAGAAGCCGGTGGGTGCGTGAAATGAACGTGATTCGAGGATCAATGGAGCCCGCTCGGCCGCCACTTCGTTAAACGGCCGATTACCAATTACTACGAAGCTCGATCGGCGCTTCGTGATGCGCTTACATAATGCCGGAGATATGGGTGGCAAGGTGAGAGGGGGGGGGGAGGCAACGCGAATGTAACACGTACGCCGAGTGGAAAAGAAGCTCGATTAGAAACGCGTGCTGACAGACTTGCTCGCAACGGGTTCGGGTAAACCTGCACACCCCAGGTCGAGGACGAGCACTCCTCGCCGACCGCCTAATGACTCTTCCTCGAGCGCTGAAAATCATCGACCTGGTGCATCGACTGGTGCTCAGCCGCCCGCGCCGATGGCCGCTGCCGATGGCGCCGGCGATGAAGCGCGTAATCGCGTGTCTAATCGCGTGCGATTTTACGCTTTTCTCGCTTCCGCGAGAAAAATCGTCCGCACGCGTGTTGCCATTATCTTGTCGATGCGTGACG